TTAAAAAATATTTTATTATTTTTATTTTATGTGTATGAGTGTATTGCCTGCAGGTATGTGAGTGCACCCATGTCATGCAATGCTGTGGAGGTCAGAAAAGGGCTTCAGATTCCTCTGGAACTGGAGTTAAGGACGGTTCGTAGCCACCATGTGGGTGCTGGGAATTAAACCCGGGTCCTCTGCAAGAGCAGTCAGTGCTCTTAACCGCTGAGCCATCTCTCCAGCCCCTCACTTTTTTATTTTTAAATAACTTACTATTTATTATTTTCTGCCATGTTCCAAAAAAAGAATTTAAAATAAGACTTTAAAAATTATTTATTCATTTTAATTAATTAATTAATTAATTAATTTTTTTGAGACAGGGTCTCCTTGTAGCCCCAGCTAGTCTGGAACTCACTATGGAGAACGGGCTGGCCTTGATCTCACAGAGATCCATCTGCCTCTGCCTTCCAAGTGGTGGGATTAAAGGCCTGTGCCATCATGTTTATTTATTTAAAATATTTATTATTATTTTCTGCGTATGAGTATATTGCCTGCACGTATCTAAGTGCACCCATGTTATACAATGTCTGTCTGCGGAGGTCAGAAGAGGGTGTCAGATCCCCTGGAAGTGGAGTTTGTGGGTGCTGGGAAACAAACCCAGGTCCTCTGCAAGAGCAGCTAGAGCCCTTAATCACTGAGCCACCTCTCCAGCTCCTATTTATTTATTTATTTATTTTTTAAAGCAGGGTTTTATGATATAGCCCAAGCTAACCCAACATCATAGAAAACATATAAATCAGAAAGTGAAGTACTTTGAAGAATGTAATCAGCCTATGGTATTCTGAAGTGCCTACTGGGATCTGCAGGCATAACCGACAGTGATTATACTGCAGATCCTGTAAGAGGGGCCATTGGTGCAGAAGGGACTGGAGAGCATGTATTCATCAACAAACACTCAAGAAACAGTCAGAATTTGTAGTGTGAATATTTCCAATCCTACAGGAGACTTAGAAGAAGAGTAGGATGAATATCCAAATACCCTCCACCTTCACTCATCAGCTGATAACACTGCCACATTTGTTTTCTTTCTCCCCACAGCTTACTTTTTGCTGAATCATTGAACAATTACATTGCAGACATCATGACATTTTGTCCATAAACATTTCAGCCTTTGTCACTCAAGAACAAAGACATTACCCTGTATACTCACAATACTCAAATCACACCCAAGGAACTTCATAGTAATTTAATGCTATTATCTAACATACAGTCTACATTCACATTTTCCCAACTGTCCTACAAATTACCTTCTTTCTTTCAGGGTCCAATCAAGGATCACACAGCACATTTATTAATTTATTTTTATTTTATGTGTATGAGTGTTTTGCCCGCATGTATGTAAGTGTACCATGTACATGCAGTGCCCACAGAGGCCAGAAGAGGACATCAGGTTCCCTGGAATTAGACAGTTGTTAGCTGCCATGGGGATGCTAGAAACTGAACCCAGGTCCTCTGCAAGAGAAACCACTGAGTCATCTCTCCAGCCCTCACACAGTACATTTAAAACACTGCATTTCCTTAAATCTAGGACAGTTGTAGGTAGAGCAATCTGGGTAGCTATATTGTAAAATGTCCCACAATGTAGCCTGGCTGGCTATTTGCTCAGGGTTAGATTCAGGGTCAGCTGATGTTTCACATTTTGCATTGCAGCACATACAGAGATTCAGAATAATGATTTATTCATTATTAGTTCAAACATCAGTTCTGATTTCAGCATTCCCTCTACCCTATGACGGAATGGAATAGGCTTCTGGCAATTTTCTCTCCTGTATCCCAATCCTACTGTTATCCCAGCCTGACCCAAGATTAGCTTCTGTTCATGAGGCCCCAGAAACAGACACAGAGGAAGCCAGGCCACTGGAAGCAGGGACTAGGCTAGTTTTGAGACACTAGAAGGCCTCAGGGTATCAGGACAGTGACAATCTCTCTCTGTATAGTTTTCCACTGGGGAAGGGCTTGACAGATATCAAAATAGATCTGCAAATTCCCAACACTAAGTAGACTCATGGCCATAGGACCAGCATACCAACAGCCTCTGGGCTATTACCTGACTGGAACACGTATCGGGCCAGGCCCTGCATCAGCTCTGCTGGCCATGTGGGGGGGGCCGACTCCCCAGTTTCTCTCTTCAGACGAAATGTCAACTCAAAGCCAAAACCACTAGGTCCATCTGTTCCGGTAAACCTAAAAGGAATAAAAAGCAAATGTTTTCAGTTTAACAATCTCACGAAAAACACTGTTTTACAAAGTTGTTGTGTGGTGGCTCCCACATGCAAATCTATTCAGGGGAATTTCTAAGGATGCTAACAGAGGGGGGAGGATCCCCCCCAAAGCCTGTGGGAGGCTAGACTTTTGTTTCACCCTCCTGTGCACTGAGGATATGTATATGCATATCCTCATATGTATATGACCTTAGCCCAACCAAACTCCTCCACTGGCATTGTGAGTTATAAGTTCCAGATTTTGTGGTTCTAAAACATTCCTTTCTGTATGATTTAAGTACCATTACTGAAAAATCTTTATTCTTCACTTATTCAACTGTTAATAGACACCCACTGAATTTGCTAAGGATTCATGTCTTATGATCCACAAACAAGGTATTCTGTAAGGATGAGGCCTTTTTCCCTCCATCCCACAAGGCAACAATCCTGAGCTATACTGGCTGGCCTCCCAAGTCAGTATCTGGAGACAGGTCCCAAAGCAGACTTCAAATACTGGGTGGGCCCATTCTCTTCCTAAAATCCAGTACACCAAGTCAATGAGCACTGCTCTTGCCTGACCCTGGCACTCCACGACCATACCTCAGTCACTGGAACTCAAAGAAGTACAGTGACCCAGGATGGGGAGGACTGTTTCTGTGGTCACACTCCTAAGAGTGGCCATGACAGTGATGTCAGAATGCCTGCCTCTTTCTGCCAGGAAGCACTCAGGAGTCTTAGGAAAGTCCCTGAGATGGCTCTCTGCTAGTCAGGGCAGCAATGTGGATGGAAGAGCAGGAACTGGCTGGTGGGGTATCATACCTCCTCAGGTGAGGGAGGCATTAGCCAGGGAAGAGTTCCCAGGAGCTCCACAAAGCTTGCTAATATTAGGAGGGTTAGAAGTTAAAATATGTTCATCATGTAATTTTCAGTAATTATATCTTGTACAAACATGAACCACAATGATTATACATATGTAAACTTTCCAGTATACAAACACAAACCATAAACTAAGATGACAGCCAACACTTTCTTGCTAGCCATGCTTCCAGAACAAGTTATCAGAGGGGAGTATTCAAGAGCTGAGACATAATCAATGGCCAACTCTGGCATCTTTCCTTCATCACCATCACCAACAAGAGGCTAGGCTGTGAGACTAGATACAAAGAGACTCCAAAGCCTTGGAAACTGACCTTAGTCTTAGCCTTGACTATGTGTCCTTGGGTAGGCCCAGCCCTCCTGCAACACGGAGGGGAAGATCACCTCGGAGGAGATAAACTCAATTTCTTTTTGATTGAAAAGGGATCCTTAAAGTTCTAACTAACCCAACTATACTTTAAGAAGTGCACATGGTTTGCATTTTTTCCCATTATCTAGCAATGTGGGAAGCAGAATCCATTTAGATGGTACACACATGGATTTTTATAGACCAGGGGAGAAGCTTCTTGAAGTTACACTACTTACACTATTCTGTTTCCTTGATGAATTGCCCTGTTGCGGTCAACTCAAAACAATCTGAGGAACAGCCTAGCAAAAGGAGGCTGCAAAAGCTGCCTCTCAGAAGCAACAGGTTTAGAAGAGTGTGAAAACCCAGGGTAATACAAGACTACCTTTAAAATTCTGCAAAGGAGATGGGTCACTAGGGCAAAAGGAAGATTTCAAGCAGTCTCCAATTAGAGACAGCTTTGTAAAGCGCATTAGGCTATTATTCCAGGACTTTCATCCTGGGCCAAGGAAAATACATGATTTCTAACCGCAAAAACTTGGGAAACAGACTAAAAGGAACATGTGCATCATGGGTTGCACAACAAGAACCCATGGATACAGAGAGAAGTCACTGAATCATTTGCACACACCACCTCACCTCACTGAGAAGGGCTATATACACACACATGTATGAGTGTGCATTCATGCACACACACACGTGCACACCATCGGTCTCCATGCAGGGTGCTTTCTGGGCCAGCTCTGTGGTGGGCAGGCCAGCCCTCATTTGGCTGCAGAGGAGGGACAGATCCAGCCAGATGGTCTCCACCTGTGTTTGATTACCACCCACCAGGCTGGCTGGACACAACCTCTACACTCTGAAAGATGAGTTTAGAATTGCCCAGCCTTAGGATAAACACATGACCTGGGCCTATTAGAGGTTTCTTTTTCTTTTTTTTTTTCTTTTTTTTTTTTGGTCTTTTTGAGACAGGGTCTCCCTCTAGCCCCAGCTGTCCTGGAACTCACAATGTAGACCAGGCTGGCCTTGCTCGAACTCACAGAGATCCGCCTGCCTCTGCCTCCCAAGTGCTGGGATTAAAGGCATGCGCCACTATACCCAGCTGAGGTTTCTTTTTCAAAGCAGAATGCCCAGGCAATAGCCAAACAAGGTCATTCCATCTTTAAAGTCTCTTGCAGGGGCCTGTCATGTCTTCATATGACAGTTTCTCCTTCCAAACAGTGACCAGAGAATGGAACTGCTCCAAGAGTGCAGCTGTCTCCCAAGTCTTCTTGAAGGACATGAGAGCAAAGTGGCATGTGTTACAGAAGGTGGGATCCGGGTTAGAGCAACAAATTTTCCTAACACAGAAGGCTCTAAAATACTGGTTGGTGGTAAACAGAGCCAGTGGAATGTCTCCCTAAAGGAATTTGCGTACACATGCGTGTATGGTGTGTATGGTGTGTGTGTGTGTGTGTGTGTGTGTGTGTGTGTGTGTGTGTATGATTGTATAGACTAGAGGCTGACATTGGGTATCTTCCTCAATCACTCTCCACCTTATTTTTTCTGAGACAGAGTCTCTCACTGAACCTGGAACTCATAGATTTGACTAAGCTGGCTGGCCAATGAGGGTAAGGGATCTGCCTTTCTCTGCCTTCCTGGCCCCCAGTGCTGGGGTTACAAATGTGGCCTGCCAGGCCCAGCTTGTTTTTTGTTTGTTTTTCTTTTGAGACAGGGTCTCCCTCTCTCCCTAGCTGTTCTGGAACTCACTGTGCAGACCAGGTTGGCCTCAATCTCAGAGAGATCACCTGCCTCTGCCCCCCACCCGCCCCCAAGTGCTGGGATTAAAAATGTGCACCACTACGCCCAGCTCATGCCCAGCATTTATATAGGCACCGAGGATCCGAACTCAGGTTCTCATGCTTACACAGTAGGCACTTTACCTACTAAGTCATCTCTCCAGCCTGTCCTACAGAAGTTTATCTCTCTCTTTCTCTTTCTCTCTCTCTCTCTCTCTACCTATCTACCTACCTACCTACCTACCTACCTACCTATCTTTTATTTAATTTATTTTGGTCTTTTTGAGACAGGGTCTCCCTGTACTCCCTGTAGCCCCAGCTGTCTTGGATTCACTATGGAGACCAGGCTGGCCTTGAACTCACAGAGATCTGCCTGCCTCTGCCTCCCAAGTGCTGGGATTAAAGGGCGTGCGCCATCACGCCCGGCTTCATTTATTTATTTTTATGGGGCTTTTGGGTACTCTTAACATTCCCCCCTCTGAAGAAGTAACCCTAAAATCTTTTTTTTTGTCTTTTTGAGACAAGGTCTCCCTGTAGCCCCAGCTGTTCTGGCACTCACCATGTAGACCAGGCTGGCCTCAAACTCCCAAGTGCTGGGATTAAAGGGCGTGCGCCATCACGCCCGGCTTCATTTATTTATTTTTATGGGGCTTTTGGGTACTCTTAACATTCCCCCCTCTGAAGAAGTAACCCTAAAATCTTTTTTTTTGTCTTTTTGAGACAAGGTCTCCCTGTAGCCCCAGCTGTTCTGGCACTCACCATGTAGACCAGGCTGGCCTCAAACTCAAGGGATCCACCTGCCTCTGCCTCCCAAGTGCTGGGATTAAAGGCGTGCGCTACCATTCCCGGTTTTTTCTTTCTTTTTT